GGTAATGGAGTTTCCTCAGTGTGAGTTCCCTATATATGTAAAACAGTGAAATCATAGGTTCAGAACATTAAAAAGTGTGGGAAAATATGTAAGGCTGTGTTCCAATTATTGGGATGCAAGGAAGAAAAGACAAGACTGAGGAATGTCCTCAGCACTTTACACAGCTCATTTTAGACTTTTATCACGTTCCAATTCTCTGTCTTGCAGAAATCACTGTATCAAGTTGCTATTACTTTGGGTTTGGAGCTTAGGTAGTCCTTCCTTCTGCTAACTGGCAAATGGTAGTAGGAAGAGTCTACAAATACTGCTAGGACTCAAGGAGAACGTCAAATTGGACCTGTGAACACATTTTTCTCTTTGCCATGTACAAACTACTCCGGTTTTAGGTCTTGCAGTACTCCGTAAGTATACCAGGTACATTATAGTTTAATCTTTGGTTATCTGTCTTAGAAACCTAACCACCACAAAAAATAGTTTCTATGTAAAAAAATATGTTATAAGTTCCAAATGAAGATTAAACAAATTAACTTTTGGGAGCCTGGAACTGTCTTACTGACTTTGGAATAACCATCAGCCATTCCTGCCCACCCTGCTATATATTCCACGATTAATTTAACAGTCCAATACGAAAAATATAGCATAAGATTCTTCTGATTCATGGTGAGTGCAAATATGGCTCAAAAGTCAAATACTGGGGGCTATACTAGATTAGGCTAAGTCATGAGTCATGAAGCGTTCACTAATGAACAAAGTAAAGTGCAGGGTATAGGTACAATTACACTGAAAAGAGAACCAGTACACACAACTACTACCCTAGTTTAGACCCTCATTACTTCTTGCCTGGATTACTGCAATAACATCCTTACTGGTTTTCCTCCCTCAAATCTTTCCTCATTTCAGCTGCTGAAGTGATTTTCCCAAAGCACAAGCCTGACAATGTGACTCCCCTATTCAATAAACCCCAATGGCTCCCTATTGCTGCTATGATCAAATATAAACTCCTCTATTTGGCTTTTTAAGCCCTTCACAACCTGATTCAACCCACTCTTCCAGCATTATAACAGACTACTCCTTTTCCTTACACACTAGAGTCCAGCAAAAAAAAAAGTCAAGATAAGAAGTATTTATTAAGTGCTTACTATGTGTGCCAGAAATTGACTGTGCAAAGTACATAAAGACAGTCCCCTGCCCTCAAAAAGCTTATATTTTAAAGGTGAAAGATAGCACATAAAAGGAGTTGAAAAAAGCTGGGAAAAAAAGGGGGGGTGGTTGAGGGGAAAGGTGGCTTTGGGGAAGCAGGGAAGGGAAGCTACCCACATCCCAGGTTTGGTGGTGAAGTCCAGACAATGAAGGGTGGCTCCTATGGGCCCTTCCTCTAAACAGAGATTCTGGGAGGGACTCACCAATAACAGAAAGGGGCTGCAAGGGCAAAGGGAGAAGGCAGCTGAAGCATGGTGGCAAAGTCATGAGGATGAAGCATGACTAGTCAGAGACCTTCCTCAAAATGGAGATTTCCTCAAGAAGACTCGAATTCAAATCCTGACTCATACACTTACAAGTTGTGTGCGTGTTCTGGGACAAATCTCTTAACTTCACTGAGCCTCAGTTTCCTTATGAGTAAAATGAGCATAATAACACTTCCCTCACAGAGTTGTTATAAGCATCAAACATGATAATATATGTAAAGTGCTCTGCAAATCTAAAAGTGATATCTAAATATTAACTACTGTTATTATTATTATTATTATTATTATTCCTTATATACAGAACTTTACCTTGCATCTCTGGGCCTTTGCACTAGTTGTCTCCAATGCTTGGAATATATACACATATGTATGTGTGGTGGGAGGGTTCCCCACTTCACCTTTGCTTCTTACAATGCCAAGTTTCCTTTAAGACTGAGCTCAAGTGCCCCCTCCTACATGAAACCTTTCCTGATTACCTTGTTTGTGCTTCACCCCCAAATAACCTGTTTTGTACAATCTATATACATACATGTTGTCTTCCCCAAAGTAGACTGTAAATTCTTCAATGGTAGGGACTGTTTCACTTCTGTCTGTACCGTTATTATCTAGCACAGTGCCTGGCACGCAACAGCCTAATAAACAGTGTTGATGATTGAGTTCTGGCATGCATGCTGAATAGGGAAATCCATGCAACATCAACTGGCTCATTATGACATGATTCATAAATAAAACAAGTACACCATGTGAAGGGCCTTTTGAACTTGTTTTCTTGAGCTGCTCTATTTTCCAGAGATGAAGTGTACTGCTGCCCCCCACCCCCAACCCCCAACTTAGCAGTGATCTTTTGCAACTGAACTCTATTAAACTCTCAGTGCCCCTGAAGCCCAGTCAACCACAATCCTGGCTCCAGCCAGTCTAACCCAGACTGATAAACTGTGCAGGTGGGACCCTTTGAGATAAGCAGAACATCCTTCCTCCACGGTCTGATGTTCCCAAGCCTCCTGCTCCCTTCCTCCTCCCATGCCACCCCAATTTGGGAGGGTTTTACCCTCTGCTCTTCCCATGAGACATCCCCTTTTTCCTGTACCCCATAAATATCCAAGGCATCATCTGTGGGGCATGCTCCTTGATAAAAGGAGTCCCCATATGGACATGCCTTTCTCTTGTAATAAATCAAGTTTTTAACCATATCTTGTGCAGTTGTGACTTTTGGTTAGGAATAACATATAACTAAATAAAAACTGCTATATGAAAAATGGTAATTTAAAACACACACATGTGTATATATACAGACACACCACACACACATAATGTATACATGATATACACTCATATATATTTTACTGTCAAATGCATTATGATAAAATAAAGGACTCAAAGAATAACACTCTTTTCAATCATGAACTGAATTTTTCTTATTCAAATTAATACTGAATGTATTTTTCTTCCTAAATGTACCAAGCTACTTATCATGAAAATAGTGAAGAACTAAAACCAAATGACATATTCTTGGCATTTCTTCCTAAGCAAAGCTAATGAGACAAGGCAGACCATAAGCCTTGGAAACAAAGCTGTTGTCTGCATATTTGCACAAGGCAAATTACTTTAATTATCTTTACTACCTACTTTACCACTGAATGGCCTATTATGGCAGTGAGGGAATGATGTATTACTGTATTTTTTTTTTAAGTTTTTGAGAGTACAATTTCAGACTGAGTGATAATTTCGGTGATTTGGAAGCTGTTATCTATTAGAAACTACACTGAGATCAGAAGCACAGCTGGTAAGAGAAATTAGTAGTAGCTTTGCATTATTTAAGATATCTGAAGGTCTAAGGATGTGTCAACATTTTTCTGTGACTTCAGCCATATTAAGAAATATTTTTGTCTTACCAAGTTCATTCATTGCATGCCTGTGTTCTTCATCAAATGAAAGTTTCATTAGAACACACACAGCAGGGCAGATCTGATGTTCAACAGGAGCTGGCACTGTGAAACAAGAAAATAAATGTGAAAAATAAAGCTTTAGTATATCAAGAAGGACCAGAGGCAATCAAGTTAAAAATCAAATCTTCAAAAGTACTTTCAAGGATAATTTTATTGAAAAACTTTTTAAAAAATCTGGCTTCATAAAAAAAGTTTATTACTACTCTGTCTGCCTTTGGCAAAGGTATAGATTAGTTACTGTCAGGTCAATAAAAAAAAAATTTTAGAAGGCATGAAAATTTTTTGTAAAAAAAATATAAATAAAAATATTCAAGACATTTCTGTACAAAACTGTTCCCACTGGAATTGTTTAATGTAATTTGCTTAAAAAATTTTTTTTGGATATTATATTGTTGATAAGCATGTGAGAATGAATGGCTATTATCTTTTGGAAAATAACCTACAAATGAGACTGTGCACGAAAAGCAACCAGAAATATAATCAATAACTAATCTGTGAATAATAAAGTGGTCCAAGACCAAATAATATTGTGAAAAATTTATGTACAGACATATAGTATTTCTACATTATCAAAAATATAGACAGCAAAGAGAAGATATTTGTAGAAATAAGAATGAGAAAGCCATCCTTAGTGCATCAGTTATTGCAGATCAATTGGCAATATTTATTTAAAAATGAAATAAAACCACTAAATACCACAGGATGGTATTCATCATCCAGTGAAAGGTTTTAGTTTTGTACCATCTTGACAATTAGTCGTTAACATACTGTAGGAGCTCAAAAAGAATGAATACTTGTTATGACTTCCCTAATAAATAAGAATTAGTACTTCATTTTGGATTTCTTTCTTCGCTACAGATCAAGACTCATATACAGTCTTGTAGTTTAATAGAATCTTTCTATTAAACTTGAACATATGTGCTACTTATTAATATGCCTTTGTGCCTTTTGCTGTTCTGTAAGCTAGGAAGTTAAGAGAGAACAGAAATGTTGCTTGTATTTGAGTTCCCTCAAATGTTAATGAGAACCAAAATAAAGAAAAAAACAAAATTTGTTGGATAGATGAGGAAACAGAGATTTAGAGAGATGTGTGACTTGGTCACACAGCTAGTGTCAGAGGTGGGTTTCAAATTGAGGTATTCTTGACTCCAAATCTAGTATTCTAACACACAATGCTGCTTCAGTGGAAATACTTGGCTGCACTGTTGGGCTTATATCAAGTGAATAAAAAGGCTTATCATATATACTTAAGTTTCTGTTCCTCAACTACTTGATAATCTTTCTTTTTTTTGAAGTTTGTTCAATTGTTGGCAACTAAATTTTTGGCTATCATCTCCTTTACAGTAGCCTAAAAATATGGTTTAAAAACAAAGATCATACATAAAATGAACATAATATTTTTCTTTTATGTCTTATTTGTCAGGAAAATTCAATTTTGATATGAGCTTCAGAGTGTGTTGAATAGTAGATAAGCTAAAAAATTAAACCAATTTTTTCTAATTTTTTTTTCTGTAATATGAATTATAACATACTTGGATTCTTGTCCTGATCCATGCCTTGTTCATGGGCTTCTTGCCATTCCCAACAGGTTTCACAGTAAGCTCGGATCTGTTCCAAAAGATGAAGGACGCGGATTTCACGCCTGCCTCGCTTGTCATCAGGTTGTGAATGAATGATGTTGTGGAGTGCAGCACTAGCCCTGGCACGAGCTTCTTTACTTCCTCTGGAATTTCCCAACAATACAGAGTCTTTGTCATTGCCATGTAAAAGTTGAATAAGGAGAGGAAGACATCCAGATTGTCGCATGGATATGCAGCTGTCTTGGGAGCTAGACATAGCTAGCAAAGTTCGTGACATGTCATCCTTATCATGAGTACCAAGCATTGACAACAATGAATACACCATTTCCACCTGTGGGACAAATGAGTTTAGGAAAAAAAATTATGATTTTTATATTGAAAGACAAAACCTATCAAATAAAGAATGGGATAGCTTCTGTAACCACACTTTTTACTACTTTCTAGGATGCAAAAATGAGTATCATTTGTTCCACATTTGTTACTAAAATTTCTTTATGACATACAATGGCAAATAATTGGTGGCTGTGATTGCCATCAAGTATTGCTCAATAAACAGTACGTTTATTACAGTGGATTCCACAATCCTAAATATCTGTACTTTATAGTAGTTAATATTTGTTAAATACTTGTACTTAATCACTAGTTGTCCTTTACCAGAATTCAATTACATCACAATTATATTTAAGTACTTTCTTTTATACATTTAGGAAACCACAGAGCAATCAAGTCATATGTTTAAAAATGGTATGATCTTACAAGTCTAATTAATAATAAAAAAAAAGTCAATATCTGCTGGATTTTTATTTTGTTTTCATTGGCTCAGGGTCTTGAGGTGTTTTGTAGTAAAAGGTCATCTTGAAATGGATTTATAGGCTTAGATTATCTGACATTCCCTTTATTCACATCATATCCTATTTCTTATTGATTTTAATCAGAAATCACCTTGTTAATACCTTAAACTGAGATGAGAATTTGAAAAAGCCCAGTGTGTGAGAAAATGAGAATTTTATAATTAAATGGTAAATAACTAAAAATAAAAAAAAGTCATTACCAAACCATTATGTAAACCTAGGTAAGGGACCCCAGATCACTAAAGAGCAACTACTTAGGTCATTTTAGTAATACTCTAATGAAGAGCCATTGTGAGTACCTACTTACCCAGATCTTTTCTCTAGATATTGCCCTCCCCCAGACCTTCTCTCTAAGACTTCATGGTCAGTTCTGTACTAGGAGGTATAGGAATCCAGCCTGAAAAGGTGATTATGAAGCAGATGACTCTGGAAGGTGTGTAGTCATCAGGATACTCTCTAAGAGATCTAATTTTCAATTAAGCATCCTTTTTGTAAGATATATCACTCTAGTCTTTTATACAATGACATATTAGATCTAGGCTAGTACTCTGATCCGGTAGCCAAATTAGGAGATCAAGTTGCCATAAGTGACATTCCAACCATATTATTTCAGTCTTGTTAAGAAATATATGGGAAGAAAAGTTCAGTTAATTATTGGACAACAGGTTATCTAGAATAAGTGGAAGGAATGCTTGGTGAAGAGACATTTACCGCTAACCTGATTAAAGAAAGGTTACCAGGAGAAGGGCAGTCTACCTCATTTCATTTAGAGTACATTAAACAAGAAATATGTAAAAGAAGGAATGGTGAAAATCATTAGCTCAATCTAACTGAGGGACACTAAAAGGTAGAACTAGCCAAAAGAATGCAATCCCCTTTCATGAATTTTAGTTAGTTCTTAACATACCTAAACATATGAACTGAGAGAGTGTGTGAGAAAATGGGAATACTTCAGAAAATGGAATTACTAGGTTATTTTTTTTCCCTATAAAGTAGTAGTACCAAATTAACATTCAACACATGAATCTTAATTTTTCCTCCTGCTGTTAGAATTAACAGATTCTGAGGTTAAAATGTAAAGGGCTGATTGGTTAGTTCTTCAGTTCCCAGTACAACAGGAGAAAACAAGTATAAATAGATTTAAGAATATTACAAATAAACAGTGAATTCAAAATAAAAATCTCTATAGGAATATAATTGAACAACACTTTTCTATCTTGGGAAATAAGCAAAAACAATTTTGGATTAGATTAACCTAATTAGTAAACTACAAAATTTAGTGAAACATTTTTCAAATATTTTAATTTCTGAGACATAATGCCTTTTTGCTCTTCTTATATGAAACCAAATTACTTCTCTTTTGCTTTTCATAAGTACCATAAGTCACAACTTACAGAAGATAAAAATCTATGAGGTACATATTCTTTGCAAATGATGAAATATTTTTAGATTGAATGAAGATAGGGTATTATTCTAGCATACGTAAATTTTAGTCTTATACATATATTGGGAAGGAGGGAAGAAAGGAAGGAAAGAAAGAAAGGCATTTATTAAGTTGTTGCTATGTGCAGTGAATTAGGTTAAATTAAAATTTTTCATTTTAGTAGCATAAAAAAATCAGTTAACATAACATCTTTGCAATATATATAATTCTTAATTTCCTTTAGTTTCTATCTCAGATAAAAAGTAAATTTTTTTAAAGACTGTAGTAATAGGATGATATAGAACCTTAAACTAGCTTATTCCAGAATATTTTTATGTGTATAAAGATCATTCTATTAATATTAGTACTATAGACATACTTAGAATAGCATTGCCCTCAGTCAATTTTGTTTACAAGCAATAATGCTGCTAACATATTTTAAATAAATGCTACAGGCAAAATTCTACTATATCATGTTGTTGGTACCTATCTACGAACTCTTCTCCCTAGAGAAGCCCTGTATCTTCTGACTGGTAGAGATGGTAAGTTCAGGCAATCAGAAAACAATTACTCTTAAGAAGTTAGTGTTCTGCAAAAAAACGAAAAGAGAACAAAAGGAGAATTTCCAACTGGATAGAATCTCATTTCTCTCTTTTTTTATTTTAGCATTTTATAGTTCAAATTTTGCCTTCCAGGAATATATTTACCATCTATATACCATTGTTCTTATAAAACTACTAGCCCCATTCCTGTATTTTGCTTAAGTCATGTTTCTGCAGAATAATTAATGTAAGGTGTGGTATGCCTGTACTGGATGGAATAAGTGAAATTATTGTATTAGTAATAATGTAGTGTTAGCGACCTGTGGTCTGTAATCTTCGGTTACCTTGGTACCCAGATGACTTGTCAGTCTTCGAGGAACAGAATAAGTACTACTAGCACTCATAACACTGGCTGTCTCATGATCCACTTGTGCAATAGAACCCTACAAATTAACATAGTTATTAGATAGTATCCCAAACCATAAGACACAAAAATTATGCATACACTTAAGCCCCAAGAGTCAATCATATCATTTGTAATCTTAAGTATCTTTACAGTGTATTTGTATGTAGATGCTCAAAACAGATAAGACTTGCTCCAACATAAGTTCTATTCAATAACTCAAACACAGGAGAGAATGCAAAGTATAGTTAAAACTTATAAGGAGGTACTGAAAGTATAGCCATTCACCATAAAACTAATTTTAGGTCCACTTCTTAAGGTATTCAAAAGAACACTATCAGTGAAAATCCTGTGGTACCATACAGTTACTCTCTAGAATCTAATACCACAAAATTCTAAAAGAAATGATTTAAAAAAATCACAAGATGTAAAACAAATTTAACTTAAGTGCAAGTAGACAGATTTACAGAATGCAATGAAGGAAATGGTCAGATTCTGAAATGTAAACTATCAGACAGAAAAAAAGAACCAGTAAATCTTTGAACGATTTAGAGACTTTGCTGACATTCATATTTCTAGAATGGACGCAATTAACTTGTCTTACCATCTTTGCTCTAAATGTAACTAAGATTTTAAATCTTAAAAAAAACAACAGTCCAATGTATTGTTTGTCAGATCTATGATAGTACTCTCCATTCACCTATATTTATATTAGCACTTATGGTAGAGGAATAAAACAGAAGTAGTTATGAGCCAAGAGTGAGGGGGAAATACAAAATAAAAATCTCCAATACCTCTTGAGACTGCTTTTGCCAAAGAGCCTTGATAACATCATTCTTTTTGACAGATATCAGTATATATCTATTTATCTGCCGCTCCATCCACATATATCCACATAATAGCAAATATTCCTCTTTTCACAAAAGGAGTAAGGGGAAAATATCCACTTTCAGTGGCAGACTATGTTATGAAATTCTAACATATTACTAAGAAAGATCAAATACAAGAAAAGAATACTCTCAAATAATGCTTAAAATATAGCAATTTGTTTTTTTCAATTCTCTCTGAAAGGACATCTTTAAAAATTCTCTAATATTTAGGTGGTTATGATTATACTGACACTGAAGCATAATTAGAATAGTTAATGTCCAATACTGCAGTAAGGACATTAATTATGACTCAACTTTTAGGATGAAGGACTCTTAACTTGATGAAGATTTCTGGCAAATAAGATAGATGACAAAGGTATATTACCTTTTGTGTGGAAGAGATACTTAAAAAACAATTTCCTAAACACCTTTGGAAGACTTAAAAACTCTAATCAATAAATGCATTATAAGCCATACATTTTTGACATGGCCAATATGGGAATTTGTTTTGCTTGACTATGCATAAAGGTTACAAGATTTTTTTTTTCTTTTTGGGAGTGTCTTTTTTTCCCTCTTCAAGTGGGAATGTGGTTGGGAGGGAGATGGAATCTAGGGAAAGGGTAGTCAAAAGAGAAAAGATCATTTTCAAAAAATGCACAAGGGAACAGAGGAAGGCTAGAATCACAGATGAATCAGTTTTGAAAGTTACATGCTGAATTTAATATATATTTTAAAAGAAAATCAAGCTACACATAACAGAGATTTGTCATCTCATGTTAACTCCAAATTTAAAATTAAAAAAAAATTCCCTTAAATCTTTGTATCAGTAGGAAATGCATCCTGCTACTACTATTCATAGCAAAGTTCTGGGTATTGTTCAGGGGTCCCTGAACTTGTCTTTCTGAGTTACGGAGGCCCTGAATGTGTCAAGGATGAAGTCAACAACACTCCTTCCCCAGCCCCCAGCTGATGTAATTTGTTCTTGCTTCCCAAACTGGACTCC